GAACTGTGTCATCTCTGTCAGTGACTTACCTTTTGCCGTTGGTTTGCAGACCCAGGGGGATGATGTCTGCAAGGATTCAGGTCTATAAAAGGGCTTGGCCAAAGGCAGCTGCTGCTGTGGTTTCTGTTATTATTACTATAATGATAATGACTATTTCCAGGAGACATCATCAGTAAAGAAGAAAAAAAAAACTTTAAAAGCTTTTTTTTATTAGTCAAATCATTCCTATTTTATTGCTCAGCATTCAATTTGAGGGATTTATATTTGCCATTAGTTCAGCAATTCCACTTGTCCCTCTAGGCAGCTGGGGAGAGAAGGTGAACTGTATTCCTCCCATTTTCTAGATGCAGTAACAGCAGCATTTTCTATCCATTTTGTCTCTAACGTCTATGATTCTATGATTAAAGGCATCTGCAATCTTATTTATTAGTTCCTTATGAAAATGATATTCAACACAGATGTCAAATGCAGGAAAGAAGAATTAACAAGCACTTGATAGCAAACCCACAATAACATCTAAATAATCACTTGTGAATGTTAAAGTCATTGCAAATAAGTTCCAATTTAAATAAATGTGTTGGATAGGATTAAGGAAAAGTGAACAAATACATCTGTCTTCATCCTCATTCATTTAAAAAATGACTGACGTAAGTTAGAATATTCTTTTTGAAATACAAACTTAGGAATGGTTCGTTTCCTCTATAACGGGTCTCCAATTAGAAGGTTGAAACAGATGAACACATCCCTGATAACTTCTCTTGAATCAGAACTACAAAGCAGAAGGGATTTAGGAGCAAAAGAGCCTTGGCAGTTCTCAATTAAGGTCACCAGGAAGCCTATGGACTCTATGCAAGGGGCTCACAATTTTAAACTTACACCAAACACATCCCCAAGAGCTTATCTGTACGTGTACTCTTGTATGTGCAAGCGTCCGTGAATGGATTATAAAGCCTACAAAAGTACTACTGTATTTATAATCACTGTATGTAACTACTATTACACGGGGGATGGGGAACACCATTATTATTATTAAAAAGGAGTCTTTGTACTAAAAAGGGCTAGGGAAGATTACCAAGCCAGACCTCTCTCTGTACTGAGAGGCGAAGCTCTTAGGGTCATTTTGGATTCCAACACAGATGTTCTTATTCCTGAACTGACCTTGCTTCACACTGTACATTCAGGTCCATGGAGCATATCTTCTCTCTACAACCCCTTCCTTTTTAAAAAAAAATAAAAATTGTATTTATTATTTTTATGAGTGTGTTGCCTGCATGTACGTAAGTGCACTAGTGTCGTACAATGCCTGAGGAAGTCAGAAGAGGGTGTTGGATGCCCTGGAACTGGAGTTACGAACGACTGTTAGTCATCATGTGGGTGCTGGGAATTGAACCCGGGTCCTTTGCAAGCGAAGTCAGAGCTCTTGGGCACTGAGTCATCTCTCCAGCGCCCCCCCCCCACTCTTTTTAAAGCAAGGAACCAGTCCCACCCTCTTTCCATGGGTTCCAATCTCCTGAACCTCTTCTGCTCTTCTTTCCGTCTCCACTTTCCTCAACTCTCAGCTTGGTGGGGTTTTGTTGTTATTGTGGTTTCCTTTGAGATGGGTTCACAACATGCATCCCTAGCTAGCCGGTACTCACTATACAGGCCAAGCTGTTCCCGAAATTAGAGATCTGCCTGCCTCTGTCTCCCAAGTGCTGGCGTTAAAGATGTGCACCACCATGCCTGGCTTCCAGCTTGGTATTTTTCAGGGAAGCCTCTCACCAACTCCTTTAGTGCTTTGATGCTCTGGAATTGTCCTTGGACACTGAGTCTCAATATGAAACAGTTACCAAAATATTAAAGTATATGTGAAGTGTGTATACAATTGGCATATGCATGGATGTATTTTGCTGCAAAACCCCTTATGTTCCTAGGGGAAAATAGAAAACTGGAGTATTTATCAATAATCTTGACTCAGATCTGGCCACACTAATAGGCTTTTAATAAGTCTGGGACACACCAACTTTTCCAAAAGGCTCTCTGGTCTGATTTCAGTTCTTTTGGTGACTCATCTGACCGGAATTGTCACTGGGATGCCATGAGAACTCGAGTGCTTGGGAATTGTACCTGCACATGGCAAGTATTCAAAAACTCTTTGCTGAGTGACGGAAGTTGAATGGGGTATATTTATGCTTCTTTGACTTCACATGGCTTAACATGAAGAGTATGTAAGAAAACAACCAAGTTCCTAATAACTCCTTCTTCTTAGTTGTCAGTCTTCCTCTAACTTTGGACCTAATATCCTCCCTCAAATATATACTATAATTTTTCAACGGTATACAGGCGACTCATTCATTTTAAGAAAATCAGATACCACTAATATTTAAAAAGAAGAAAATAAAAGCTCCCTGGGAGTCCATCACCCAGGAGTGGCATCATTACTGTGCCAGGGCACAGACTTTCAGATGGTCCCATGCATATGTATGCACATGCCCATCTGACATACCACCCAAAGCCTGTATCCTCGACTTTGGAACCTAGAGTTTCTCTTTTTGCTCTGAGCTCACTTTGTCCATTTCCTCTTAGCTTCTTACCCCACTCCTGTGTTCTCAATCTATTCCTTCCCTGGTAACTGGGTCCTACTTCAAGGGAACATTCCCCTATTCTCCTTCAGCTTGAAATACTATGAGGACATCTTCAGTCCTTTTCTCCAGGATATCTCTCCAGGATATTAGTGTTCCTCCAGCCCATCAGGAGCATAACCCAGTGCATCATGTCCCACTAAGTCCAAATGACTCATGTATCCTATTCCTGACAATGCTAAAAGAACTCTACACTGCCCTCGAGTCTTCCTTGGTTCCCCAAGCCCCATCCTATCACCCAATGCTACTTCTCCTTCCTCCACATTCTTTCTCATCCACCTCAGCCCAGTGATAACATTACTGTTTAGTTCTCCACCTAAATCATCTTCTACCTAGGTCTACTGGTCTCTAAACAACCAAACATTATCAGTCCTATGCACCTTGGCCACTCAGCCCCTTCCATCTTGCTCATGGCTACATTCAGAAATGTCTCACTCTTGAAGAATGGGATTCCAGTCCTCTCACACTCTCTACTCAGACTATGTTTCCATCTGAATTTTTCACTGCTGAAATGGACTACTCATTATTCACCCAATTCCAAAACATTTATTTTGTTATGGAATATTTATTAACCATTCATTTATTAACCGGTTATTCATTGAATAACTATTTACTGAGCATTTATTCTATTAGGGAATGACTGATGCTGTGGATGTAGCAGCAAACAAGACACACTCAGACCCTGTCCTCATGGGATGCTGGGTTAAAGAGAAGAGAACCCAATACATCATGGTCCCAGCCCAGGATACTTCCAATCGTCCATTAAAATGTCAATGAGGGCTGAGGGTGTAGCTCAGTTGCTAGAGTGCCTGCCTAGTATGCATGAAGCTTTGAATTCAATTCCCAGCACTGCATAAAACAAGTATGGTGGTTCATGCCTGTAACCCAGCACTTAACACTCAGGAGGTAGAGGCAAGAGGATCAGAAGTTCAAGGTCATCCTCAGTTACACAGCCAGCCTGAGGCCAGCCTAGGATACATGAAATCAGCTTCCCTTAAGATATGGGAGAAAGTGGTGCTTCTGATTTGGGGGTGAGAGGGATATGAGAAAGGGCACCCTAGAGAAAGGAAAACAATGGCCTCAGTGGGCTCATTTTTTATAAACACCTAGTCATCAGCAGAGCCAGCTCTGCAGAGGACAGGACAGTGACTCAGCCTCAACTCCCACCATCAAGGGACTTCCAGCCAGCCAGGAGTGTAGGACACCATAGAAAGAGGGCCAGTTCTCTAAGAGACACATAAGGAAGAAAGAAACGAAATGAAACAAAACAAAATAAAACGCCTGGGGAGTCCAGAGGAGGTAGGCACATGTCTGATTATATAACAGCACTTATAGAATCATTATTTTTGTCATCTACATCCATCAGTACATCTATGGAAAACAACTATTTCCAAATACTTTTGCACTCTCGCAATTAAGTGACTTGAAAACAGAGTAGGTAAAATTAGGTTTTCCAGATAAGCAATAGAAGCACTAATCTTTAAAGCAACCTGAAAGCAACCTGCTTATATGTCAGGAATATAAAACAGGCAAGACTAAAACAAGAACACCCTGTTCATGTCAGCCTACTTTGGCAGCAGAGGAACTATCTAGATCACAGAAAGTGGCTCTGTAGTTGCATAAACGACCTGACTGGCTGTTTAGAATCAGACTCCCAGAATGCAAGGGTGCCTTCTGCAATAGGAAGCTGACCCAAGGACTTTTCCCCTTCACCCTCCTGAGTGCTGCTATATACCCCCCTCCTCCCATCCCCGGACTGTCCAAAACATAATCATCCCTTAAGGACCCCCACCCCCCGATTTTTTTTCAGCCTATCCTCGCACTGATTCATTCTCACTAATCTGCGGGGAAGATTTACATAGCTGTTCCTTTCCTGGACTGAGCATCATCATGGGGCGTGCAACCAGTACACTGCTCAGCTAGAAGCAGGCAGTCGTCATGCGAGGAAAGAATGGGCGAATTCCTGGGACCTCCCTGGTCAGGAAGGGCACCCCTTTCTCTCGCATCCCTTCCCCTCAGAGGAGCGCACACGCAGCGAGTTCCAAGAGGGCAGGTGGGGAAGTCGCGGAGAGCCCAGCCGGCAGGAGCTCAGGTCCCCGGCTGAAAGTCGGGACTAACGCTCCCAACTTCTACAAACAGGCTTCAAGCGACCGCTCAAGGTTTCTCCCCTCAAACTAAGGACTGGAGAGCGCGCGTCCCCGGAGCTGCGGAACACTAAACCCCTGGGACGCGCAGAACACAGATACAGCCCCGCAGGCAAAGCACTGGGGGCCTGGAAGCCTCGCGAGATCTCGGGGTCGGGATCTCGTGGCGTTGCCTAGCGACAAGACGACGCTGGCGGGCCCCCATAAACCCCCGCTGTATCCTTCAATCTCCTACCATGGGGGAAGAAGGCGGCGGCCGCAGCTGTGGAACCCCTAGGGACCTGCAGAAGCTGAAGCAGCAGGCGATGGAGTACTATCGGGAGAACGACGTCCCGCGCAGGCTGGAAGAGCTGCTCAACTCCACCTTCTACCTCCAGCCTGCAGACCTCTACGGGCACCTGGTAGGGACCTGACACCGGCGCCCTCCTCCCTCCCGCCTCGCTCCGCGCTGCGACAACGCACTGCGCCTGCGCCTCAGAGTCACGCCTGCGCGCTCAGGTCGCGAGGGGCCTCGGTAGTTCGCGGAGGCGAAACGCAAAGGGAGGCTGGGGAGAGGACGTCTGGGAAGGATGAATGTGGAGGCGGAGCGGGGCAGAGCCGGCGGAGAGTCAAGATCTGGAGCTCTGGAGGCAGCTCAGAGTCTGCGGGCTTCTCTTCCTGGCCGCCCTTGTTTCCAAAACACACACCGCGCACACACACGCACACACACACACACACACACACACACACAGCCACCTAGCTCACCCCCTGTAGCTCGCGTTCCGGGGACACACACACGCCACACACACACACGCACACACACACACACACACACACACACACACACAGAGCCACCTAGCTCACCCCCTGCAGCTCGCGTTCCGGGGACACACACACGCACGCACGCACACACACACACACACACCCCTAGCTCACCCCCTGCCCTCAGCAGCTCGCGTTCCGGGGATTCATACCCCGGCCTCTGCTACTTGGCCGCAGCCCACCCCGGGGTTCACCCAGCTGGCCCACTGCTTCCAGCTTCTGATTTCAAGCCTGCGCATCCCCCATGCACCTGTACCCAACCTCGCTGAGCCTGCTCTTCCACAAACCGCAAATTCACTCGGAGGCCTTGACCACTTGGCTAAGCGTCCTTGAGTGAACCTCGGGGCATGTTTTCCCTATACTCAACCCTTTGAGTCAATCAAGCACCTGCTAAGAGGTGTGTGCATATGAGTTGGTTTGTGTGGGGGTGATACTCACTGAGTGCCCTCTATTATCTCAGTCCTTTTTCTTTTAACCACTGCAAAGTAATACATACTTGCATATATAAATAAATTTATTTTCAAAAAGAGAGAAACAATGTCCCTTTTCCAAATAAAGAACGTGTGACCCAGAAATTTAAGTGATTTTTTTCCCCTCAAGGAATACTGACAGTGGTACATAAGAACGTCTTAGAACCATTTGTGTAATGAGTGAGCTTGACCCAGGTTTCAATCTCTGTCTCTTGTTAGAGAAGTTACTGAAATTTGTCTAGTCTCGTACTAAAAAGACAAGCTAAGGCCAGAAACTCGCACTCTTGCTCCCATGTGTGATGTTCTGCTCAGTCTGTTAGACAGCCAGGACACTTGTTTTTGAACTCTCTGGGTGATTATATACCTTGGTTAGGGACAGAAACCATTTATGGCCTGACTTTGAGGGGGCAATGCACAAAATGCCTCTTTATCCCAGCGAGGGCATCAGCAGACCCAAGGAACGACTCCAAGTCCAGCTTTGTTGAACCAATGAGGTTTGGGGGGTTGTCTGCAGGAGCATGAGTGACTCAGGTGGCTACACTGCTAAAAAGTCCCCTGCAGAACTATGGGCAACCACAGTGTTCCCTCCCAGCAGTTGTTAATCCCTTACATAACCTCTGCGAGGGGCCTTGTGAGCCGCCTGGTCCCCCCATCATGGAATGTTCACAGATCTCATCCTCTGGAGTCTCTTATTTATAAGTGATTATAGCTGCTCCTGATTCAAGACAGCAGTGTTCACATCTCCCCAGGAGGTAACAGCTGGAGACCCCATTTTGCTACATGTGCTAACTGGAGTAATAGAAACACTGATGCAGGACTGTGTGCTAAATGGAAGGACAGATTACTGTGCCTTTTAAATAATTCAGAAACAGGGAAGATTATTATAGTCTGTAGCTACCAGGATAGTTTTGGATCTCTGAAGGATGTTCAGGAACTGCACTGAGAAAATGGCAACCTCTCCCTCATTTTGTCCTAGGCCGTCCTGTTTGATAAAGAGCACCCTGTCAAGACTTGTTCCTGATGTTCAAGGCTGATCATCATTCTCTTGCCCAGAGATCTCCTGTGGCCTCCCCTTGCTTGCTGAATATGATTGCATACCTTGTCTGTGGTGTTCGATGCTTAGGCGCCACTTCTAACAAGAGGTTTATCTCCCACTCTCCCTCTCCACTCCTTTACAGAGGACTATTTGCTGTCCCCCAGAACCTGAAGATTCCCACTGTCTTTTACTCATTCATTCCCTTTACCCAGAGTAACTGCCCTTCATGTTCCCTCCTTATCTGACTGTTTAAATACTACCTATCCTCTAGTGCTTGGCTCAAATGCCATTTCTTCTGTATTTATCAGGCATCAGAGGAATTCAGGAATGGAGGACATCTCTGTGGGCAGCAGCAAGACAGTGTGTTCATCATAATACTCATGACTTACAGTTTGTTCATCATAATGTGAATGATTAAGACAAGTTGTGCCAAGAATCACATCTGGGTTTGATCCCCTGCTCTGCCACTCACTAGCTGTGGGAGAGTTACATTAATAGGTCTCTAATTGACGTACTTCCGATGTGACTGCTTTAATGCAAATCCTACCAGTGTTGTCTCTGAACTCTACCATGTGTTTTGCTTTGACCAGTAGGACACTGGCAGGTGTGATCCAAACGAGGCTTCAGAAGTGCTGGCATACTGAGGAGTGTCCTCTTGGAAGCTAGTCCTCATGCTGTGGGGATGTCTGATTACTCTGCTAGAGAAAGGAACCCTGCACACAAAGGCCTGGGCACATGTCAGCCAGTCAGGGCACCCTGTCAGAAAGACAGATGTCCAGCCAACCCAACTGTTCCAGCCATCCCAGCTGATGCACTGGATCTGCAAGTAAAATCACACTGGATAGTCTGACTCTGTCAAGCCTTCAGATGACAGACAGCATCTGTATAGGAAACTCCCCCGTCCCCGTGCACAACCAGCAAGAAAGTTTTCAGTTATGTTCCCTCCAGATTGTAGATTTGAGCAAATAGCTGGTTTCCCCCACTAAGTTCTTGGGTGAATTGTTGCATGCAGTAGATCATTAAAACATTTGCTATATGATCTTGGACAGTTTATCTCCTCTGTGGAATTGAGATTGTGCCACCTACCTTAGTCATGTTGACAATTTAATAGCATAAGGTCTCTAGAGTTCTTAGGGACTGGCATTAGTTTATATAGGGATTCTGTGTATGTCATGTGTGTGGCACAAGGAAGAAAAATACATCCTTCCTTCAAAGTACATATTAAGCCCTTGTGGTGGTTTGAATGAGAAATGCCCACCCACATGCTCAAGAATTTGAACTTTGTCCCCAGTAGGCAATGCTGTTTAGGGAATCTTTAGGAGGTGTGGCCTTGCTAGAGGAAGTGTGCCACTGGGGGCAGCTTTGAGCATTCATAGCCTTGCCCCACTTCTGGTTTGCTCTCTCGCTGCTTCTTGTTGCTCTCAGCTTCTTGCCCTGGCCACCTGCTGCCATGCTGCCCCTGACATTATGGACTCCCCCTCTGGGACTATAAACCAAAATAAACTCTTCCATAAGTTGCTGATGGTCATGATGTCTTATCACAACAACAGAAAAGTAACTAATATAGCTCCTGAAAAATGTTAGTTCCCTTCCCCTCCTAACAACATGCGGCATAGTGTAGGTGCTTGGTGCATGTTGACTTGAACTCACAACACATAAACTATAAGCCAAATATGTTTTTCCTTTCCAGACTCTCTAAATTCATTTAAATGTTATGGCTTACTCTGTAACATACAAATTGCCATCCTTTATGTACACACCAATAGCTTGAATGTTGTCCTTTGCATTGCTCTGGGTGTTAGATGACCTGTTGACCAGTCTGAAGTCACTGGGTCTTGACTGGAAGGGCCAGAGACTTGGTCTGCTAAATGGAGATAAAGAGCCCAGTGCCCTGGTAATCCCGATGGTGAGGAGGTGTGTCTCATTCCTGCTCCTGTGGAGAAACTGCCTTGAATTATTTCACTCTGGCTTCTGGAGTGGGCTTTGCACATCAGCTTCATTCTTCAGTCTCTTTGTTGAATCACTTCCAGATGACTTCTGCCTTGCCACTTCAATGAAATTGTTGTTACTAAGGTTTCTGGCAAGGCTCTTTGACTACTTAGCACTATGGCTCATCACTATCAGCTGATGGTAGGAGAAAAATAGTCACTGCCTAAGTCTTCATGGTTAAAAAGCCAGGTGCCTTGCTGGGAAGAATAAAAATGAGCCTCCTTCAGGTTTCTTAAATCTGAAATGCATCATAGTATTCTAGAGACCAATGACTTCCTTAATTTAGGCAGAGGTATGGGGGGATATGAGTTACTATAGGAAAGCTTGCTAAAGAGTGACACTAGGCCTATAAGTTAAGTCACTTTACTCCTGTAGAGAGGTCAAAAGACAACTCCTTGCCCCATGTGCCAGAGACTCAGGATGGAGTGAGATCCAGATCTCAGGAGTGAAGTCAGAGCAGCTGGGCTAACCCAGATCCAGGAAGGATACTCATAGAAAGACTTAGAGTGAATGTGCATAGCCTTTGAGACAAATTCAACATGGCTTTCTGATTTTTGTTTTTGTGTATGTGTTGAAGGCAAACTACTTTTCTAAACTTGCAAAGCCTCCTTCCATATGCAGAGTAGTGGGGAAAATCGTTCTGGATGGACTGGGGCTTCCTACCCTACAAGTGGAAATATCCTGCATCATTCAAAATTTCCCCAAGGTACGAGACAGTTTAAATGTGTTCTTTAATATGTCCTATCCCTCCTTATGTTTATTGTCAACTGTCTAAATTGCAGAAAATTCATGTTTTTGAAATTCACTGTTTGTAAGTATATATGTACATATGTTATTCATTCATAGGTACTCATACAAGCTTGACTTATGCAATCAACAATGAAATATTTATGTTTCAGTGTAACTTTGATATAGATATGACATGCTAACCTGAAGATGATCCAAAGTAGAGAAAGAGACAAAAATAGCTTTAAAACTCTGATATTACCCTGTAATGTAGTCTATAAATCTACATACGGGTTTATGTATCCAAGATATGTAGACTAACAACTGAAGTAAAGAAAACTATTTAAATAACTTTCATAGGGCTGGAGAGATGGCTCAGAGGTTAAGAGCACTGGGTGCTCTTGCAGAGGACCCAGGTTTGGTTCCCAGCACCCACATGGCAGCTAACAACTGTTCTAACTGCAGTTCCAGGGGATCCTATGTATTCTTCTGGTCTCTATGGGCATGGCATGCACAGGTACACTTACATACGTGTAGGCAATGACACTCATACACTTAAAAAATAAATTTAAAAATTTTTGTAAAATAAAATGTAAATAACTTAAACTTCTGGGTATTCCACCAAATGGAAGCCAGGAGGATCAGGAGTTCAAAGCCACTGTCAGTTACATGAGATTCTGTCTCAAAAAGCAAAAATAAATAAGTAACTTCAACAGTTAATTTTGATTCATGTAGTTACCTATTACCAATAAGGTCGCTACAGCCTCTGGAAAGAGAATAATTCTGATTAAATCTGTTCATCTTCTTGTAGCTATTTATTGGAGAGGTAGTGTGAGATAGAAAAAGTTCAATGTAGGAATTTTTTTAACTAGGAAAGAAATTTTTTTAGGTTTTTCTTTAAAGAATAAAATATACTAAGTTTATTAGTACTTACAGAAAAATACAGCATACAGAAATATGAAAATTATGTTTTCATTTAAGTTATGCTTTTAAATGTAGGAATTTAAACAAGGTAATTATGTTTCATGAAGTTGAGTTTCACAGTGTTTCAACAGCTATGAAAATATAACAAAGAAAATTATATATTGTTGTTTTTCCTCCTTGAAATAGTGATAAAATATTATGCCTGTTAAAAGCTAGCATAATTCAATTTTCTATTTTCTGGGAGAGGCAGAGAAAATATGGGATGAATTTATGTCATTATTAGTTCATGTGTTCTGTGGTGATGCCTGCTCACTTTGAAGTCCTGGAGAATGCTTTACCAGAACTGGTGGATGCAGAGGAAGCAGAAAGAGATCTGGCAGTGAGCAGGGCAATGGAGTGGGCCAATGAGGCCATGACGGAGGAGCTATGGGGCCTGCTTCCTGCCAACCAGGCTGAGGTAGACCGGAGGCTCAGGTACTTTGAAATAGAAATATCTTGTGTAAATACTTATGTGCTATCTTTCCATTTCACCTGCCAATAAAATGGCTCTAAACACTACTTAAACTTATTCCACCCACAACCCCCTTTTGCCCAAGAAAAATTGTGCGTGTGCGTGTGCGTGTTTGTGTTGCAGATGCTTATGTGCTACGGCATGTGTGTGGAAGTCAGAGAACAACTTGTGGGAGTCCTCTCCTTCCAACATACTGGTTCTGTGTCATCAGGCTTGGCCTCAAGCACCATTACCCACTGAGACATCTCACCGGTCCCAGAGTTGATCAATATTTTGATGTTATAATAATCAATGCTGAGAATATTGCTTTGTATAAGCACATAGACTACATAGTACAGAATAGCAGAAGTATGCTTATAGCCATTTCAAGAAATGATTGGAAATTCTGCCCTAGTCCCAAGCCAAAATTCATTTAACAACTTTGTATGAAACTTAGGTTAGGAACTCAGACATCAGTTCTTAAAATCAAACATTCCAACACAATCCAATACAATCCAAAGATATACTAATTTGATACATGCTGAGGTAAATATTAAAAATTTTTGTTTTGCATGTTTCTGTAAGAATAGAAAACTTGTGTATACAATAAATACACTGCAATTTGTAATGTACAGTGGTCTCAAACATGAGCAGAGGTGTTTCAGGCTATGTTCATTGGTATCGTGTGGTATGACAGTTTGTGCAATGCACAATGCACATGTGTGCTCAGACCCAACACTGCAGTGAAGTCGCATGATGCAACATGAACAAATACTGCCAGAAACACCTTGTATTCATTGTGTGCTTGATTTAGAATTGATTTTTGGTCATTGTGTGTTCAGAAACCTACTGTCACCAAATATTTTGTAACCCGCAGCATGTAGTTACACATGACTCCATAATAAGGTTATGACTCATAGTTTAAGAATCTTGGCTGCAGCTGGCGAGATGGCTCAGCGGTTAAGAACACTGTTTGTTCTTGCAGAAGACCCAGATTTGAATCTTAGCACCCACATGGTAGCTAACAACTGTACATAACTCCAGTCCCAGGGGATCTGACAGCTTCTTCTGACCTCTGTGGGCATTGCACGACACAGGTACACTTACTTACATGCAGGCAATACACATAAAAATAATAAAAATTTAAGAAAAAAGAATCTTGGCTGTAGACTCAATACAGTTGGGAGACAGTTTAAGAAACATGTTAAAACACCAAATTTTTGCATATAGCCTTCTCCTGAAAATTTTGTTACTAAACTCTTACTGTTTAGAGTTACGCAGAGCCTGTTGGTCTCTTTTCATGCATAGAACTTTGCTGGGATTCACTGAAAACTTTCTCAGGAGAAAGATCAAGTCACAGATGCAGAGAATGTCCTCTCCCTGCCCTACTTCTGAGGCCACCTTTGAGCACCTGGGATCCTGTGGTGGTGGCAGTGGCTGCTGCTTACATTTTGTGCTCAGCCACAACCAAGTCGTCCACCTTAGCTCTGAATTAAGGTTTTTTGACTCTTAAAATTAGCAAACCTGGGGCTGAAGAGATGGTTCTCCAGTTAATAGCACTGGCTGCTCTTGCAGAAGACCTGGGTTCACTTCCCAGCACCCATATGGCAACTAGTAACTCCTGTAACTCTAGTTCCAGGGAATCTGATGCCCTCTTCTGATCTCCATGGGCATTTTACAAAATGAGTGCACTTACGTACTTGTAGACATGACACTCATGCACATAAATTAAAAATTAAAATTGAGAGACCAAAGAAAAGTTTACTAGGGCTGTGTATGCATTGTTTGATGCCATGCTAAGCAATGGGTTAGAATTACTTTTCCTTTTGTGCAGATCTAACATTCAATCCCCTTGGTCAGGCTCTATTACTTACCTGTGGAATGTCATGTTTTGCTTTGCTTCAGAGTTGAATGATGACCTTTGTTTAAAAGTAATAACTTTAGCCAGGCGTGGTGGCGCACGCTTTTAATCCCAGCACTCAGGAGGCCGAGGCAGGCGGATCTTTGTGAGTTCATGGCCAGCCCGGTCTACATAGTGAGTTCCAGGACAGCTGGGGCTACAGGGAGATCCTGTCTCAAAAAGACAAAAACATTTAAAAAGTAGTGTTTGGTTTGTTTGGAGTTTCTAAGTGCTGCTTTTCTTACTTTTGTTTTGTTTGGGGTTTTGGTCATACCTTTTATTTCATTGCATGCTTTCTTCCCCTGCAGTTTTCCCTCCCATCTAGCCTATACTGCAAAAATGGAAAAATTTCATGTTCTTCTGTTTCTGGAGCCTATATTTTTCTTGATCTTAATCTCCTTTCCCTACACACACACACACACACACACCAGAGAGAGAGAGAATTAATGGATATATCTTTGAAAAGGATGAGAAAGGGGATGTGGGATGTAATGTTTCTGAGTTCTTACATAAACAGATGTGTCAGTACTTTGCCCTCATGGGTGTTAGTTTAGCTGAGTATAGAATTCTCTGTTGAAATCAGTTAAAATAATTGCCCCACTGCATCAGAACTATTAATAAATGTAATGCATATCTTTTTGTTTGCTATTTTTTGCCTATGGAAGCTTTTATCCTTTTTATTCTGAGATGAAATTTTATGTAGTTGTATCTAAGTGAGATTTCCCAAGAGTATTTATACATACTCATTTTAAGACACACACACCTACCCCTCATAAAAAGGGGTAGGGAGCGACTGGAGAGATGGCTCAGATGTTAAGAGTAAATGTTGTGCAGAGGACTCGAGCTCAGTTCCCAACACCCATGTCAAGTGGGTCACAACTGCCTGTAACTCCAGCTCCAGGGGCATCAGACACCTCTAACTTGCATGAGCACCTGCACTCACATGTATACACATACACACACTCACTCACTAATGAAATAAAAAAATTTTTTTTGGTCTTTTTGAGATCTGGTCTCCCCATAGCCCTAGCTGGCTTGGAATTCACTATGTAGACCAGGCTGGCCTTGAACTCACAGAGATCCACCTGCCTCTGCCTCTTGAGTGCTGGAATTAAAGGCATGCACTACCACACCTGGCAAAATAAATATTTTTATAAAAAGGAAAAAACATTTTATAAACATTCAAAGTTAAACAAATGAAATAAAAATAGTATTGCTGAACTAAAAAAAAAAGAAAAGAAAAAAACAGCTTCTTTGCAATCTTGATTTTTTTGGAGGACTCCTGGTTTGTGTTCTGAATGTCATTTATATTAAAAGAAAATCCAGTAGTCTGTAATCAAATTATATCTTCAAATTATGCTTTGAAAGCATAAAAAGACATCAAATAATTTAAACAATCGAGTACCTGAAATCATTAAATATTTATTTCCAGGCCAAAATAAATTTCAGTTCTTGTAAAAACAGTTTTAACACTGCTATTCCTTTTTTTGGACCTTGGCAATTACATCTAATTTGTTCTTCACTAGCTAAAAAGAAATTATATTATTGGAACATTGGGGTCATCCCTGAAACATGTCCAAAAGCACAGAGGTATTTCAAACATCACATTATAAAGCCATATTTTTCTTGCTATTCAGGCTATTTTTTGACAATAAAGTACAAGAAGATAAGGAAAGAAAAGAATTGGAAAGGAGCCTCGAAGAGCCTGTGCATGTACCCCTACCTGTCACACCGCCACCACCTCTACCTCCCACCAAAAAGAAAGGGCCGAAGCCAGGTGAGTGGCTTGCCACTTTGCAGCACCTTGAAGGGCAAAGGTGGGAGGAGAAAAGGCCGGAGCTTAGAATGGTTAGCTGCTGGCCAGGTGCCCTCCTCCTCCCTTGAAGCTGCTGTGCCGCAGCAGGCTGTTATCTCACTTGCCCTCCTCTTTTATCTGAAAAATAAAATGAGTTTTCATTCATAGGTGAGCACTTTCTCCTCTCTCTCTCTTTCTCTCTCTCTCTCTCTCTCTCTCTCTCTCTCTCTCTCTCTCTCTC